ACACAGTTGGCTGCTACATATTCTACACATGTACAAAATACATCCATCACTCATTGCATTCTTCGAAAACACTATGCAGCACTGGAGAACAACACTACATCTCAGGGTTAGTAACACTTCCATACAAACAAACGAAATATTCATTAGGCGAGGAATTTTTCAAGGAGATTCCTTGAGTCCTCTCTGGTTCTGCCTAGCCCTGAATCCATTATCCAACATGTTAAACAACACGCATTATGGCTACAATATCAGACATGAAAAAACAACACAGTTTACACTCTCACATCTCATGTACATGGACGACATAAAACTTTATGCATCCACACAAAAACAACTTCATCAACTCCTACAAATCACACATTCATACACTAAGGACATACAAATGGAGTTTGGCCTAGACAAATGCAAAAAACTTCACATAGAAAAAGGAATCCTGAAGAAAGAAGATTTTGCACTTGGAAATGGAGACGTTATTGAATCCATGGAAGAGGGCGAGTTCTACAAGTACTTAGGATTCCAACAGGCCAAACTAACAGAACATACACAAATAAAGCAACGATTAATTAAAGAATACCAAAGTAGGTTAAACGCTATACTTAGAACACAGTTAAATGCAAAACACACAGTTAAAGCAATAAACACATATGTCATCCCAGTACTCACATACTCTTTTGGAGTTATACATTGGACTCACACAGATCTCGAGCAACTCCAAAGGAAAACAAGAACAACACTTACTAAGCATAAACAACATCATCCTAAATCCGCCACAGAAAGATTAACCCTTCCACGTAAAGAAGGCGGACGTGGCCTGATTGACATAGTTAACCTTCACTACAAACAAATACAGTCACTGCGAGAGTTTTTCTACAAGAAACAAGAAACATCACAGTTACATAAAGCAGTAACTCTAGCAGACTCAAATAACACACCATTAAACTTACACTCACAACATACAGACATGACACAACATATAAAAAGCATAGACAACATTAAGCAATCATGGGCTCAAAAGGCTCTCCATGGCAGGCATCCTTACGACCTGGCCCAGGATTTTGTTGACAAAACTGCGTCAAACAGCTGGTTAGATCGGGGATGCCTCTTTGGGGAGACGGAAGGATTCATGATTGCCATACAGGATCAGGTCATAAATACTAAAAACTACAGAAAACACATACTCAAAGATACAACACTCACAAATGACACATGCAGAAAATGTCACATCATGCCAGAAACTATACAACACATCACTTCTGGTTGCAAGCTCTTGGCACAGACAGATTACTTACATAGACACAATCAAGTAGCAAATATAATACACCAAGAGCTTGCAAAGAAACACAAATTGGCAGACATCCACGAACCATACTACAAGTATATTCCACAGACAGTATTGGAAAATAACACGCACAAAATGTATTACGACAGAGCCATAATCACAGATAAAACAATTTACCACAACAGACCAGACATCACACTCATTGACAAACACAATAAAATCACATACATTATAGACATAGCCATTCCAAACACTCACAATGTACAAAACACATGCACTGAAAAAATTAGCAAGTACACAGAACTCGCCCAGGAAATCAGGCATCTGTGGAGGATGGATAGGGTGCTTATTGTACCTGTCATTCTCTCCTGTACAGGTGTGATACCACACACGCTACACAAAAGCCTGGGAACATTACAATTGAGTATAAATACATACATCACAACACAGAAGGCCACTATATTGAATACATGCCATATTGTTAGGAAATTCCTGAATACAGACACTGACACACTTATTTAATTTTATTTTTGTTTTGGTTGCTATGCCTTGACTCTGGTCCGGCATAGTACACAGCTACCGGTGTGAACCGAGTATAACCCACTAAACCCAACACGTAATAATAATAATAATAGTGTTGACATCAATCCCATATTCCATAGCTGATGATCAGAACTAACAGATGTATGTGATAAACTGAAATAAAGTGGATTTGGAATTAGTAGTAATTTGGGTCTAAAAACAAATTCATTGTGCAGTTATAAAAATGTTTACTTTAATTGTTGAGGTGACATGCCAATTACTCTATAATGTCAGAGACCTTCAGACCTTATAGGAAAATTGGATGTCTATCAAGTATCCTTGAAAAACATCCAAAACAAATATCTCATTATCAATTGGTTGTGGCGCCAATAATGATAATTATTAAATAGACAAGAACCTTAGTGCCTCAGCAAACATAAAAAAAATGATGTTGAACACTGTAACCAAATCATAGAACTATCTAAATTAGTTTTCACATCTACTTTTGTCCCTATTTGGGTGGACACATAGCTCCTTCAACAGAGAAGGAATCTGCAGTTACTTTTCATAAGAAAACCAATTTTTATTAACACCAGTCACCTAGGACATTCCAGAACATTAGAAGGCATTTTACAAGATACTGCATTAAATCTCATATATTGTGTGTAATGTAATTGTGTACAAGATATAAGTGCATTAGTTTAACTTTAAAATGTTACATGACTAATTTGTATTTTATTACTCTTTTTAGTTTCTGTGAATAGGTATTTTTGTATTTATTTTTCACAACTTTATGTTTTATTCTATTAAAACCAATACTTGCTTGAATTTTACTTTTCAAAATCACCATTCTGTGTTTGTTTGAATGTAATTTTTTTCTATCTCGACTGCTTGACAGTGCAGAAAAATTAATAAAAATATTTTAATTTCTCATGTGTATTCCTGAAATAATAGAATTGTTTCTTGTAGTGTTGTAACGAATAGTATATTCGGCCTCAGGCCGAATACCAAATATTTGGTTAGGAGCTTGGCTGAATAGCCAAATATTCGGCCAAACTATTCGGCTCGATTAACGCATGTACGAAAATTGGCGCGCAAGTCACATTATGGCAAGGATCCTGCTCTCCATTGGCCCGCTGTCACCACGCTTTGCCAATCACGTTAATTCTTGGCAGTTGTAGCGGACAGACAACAGTGTCATGGAAGTATGTGATAAATGATGATATCAAATGTGTATAACAATGAAATGACCTACACGTGTAAATAACGGAAAAAGAACAGAGAAGAACCGCGAAGTGAAAATGTGAAAATAAATAAGAAATTGAGTTGATAACATAATCGAACAAGTCGAGGCAGCTTATTGGCACGAAATTCGCGGCCGTCAATGCCAAACAATTGTTGTCATAGACTTCGGAAAGCTAAATGCTTGTAATGAAAGTTACTTAGCGTGCACGGGCGAAAGCCTGGGGCTGTTCGGGCTATCAAGCTGTCTCGAATCTGTGAAATCATAACTGTGACTTATACCGACGTCCTATCTGTCTCTTTTCTCCGTTATCACCAGGCTGTCGCGTAATTGTAAAATGGGAACTCTACAACGGAAAAGTGACGAATCGAAAGTATCGTGAGCACGTATTATGATGTATGCACAGGCATACGTGGATTAGAGCGATAGAGGAAAGAGAAAGGGAAGAGCAAAGACGAGCACTTAAAAAGAAGGATAGGCAGGGTCAGATCCTCAGATGTGCGAGGATTCTCCAACGATAGACATGTACAGTACGTGTGCTGATCTTTGTAATTAAAAATTGTGAATACATGTGACTAATATTATTTTTATTTTGCGCATGTTACAAGTTATAAATAAATAAATATAAACAAACAACACAACTCGATAACATTAAATCTAAATAACGAAATGATTAATTTACTGTGTTTTTGTTATTTATTACTCCTGCTTTTAGGTATTCGGCCTAAATTTTATTTTAAATATACTATTTTAACATCAGAAGCAGGATAATTCCTTCAGTTAGTGTGAGACATTTCTCTGAATTAAATTATAATTAGAATATCTCAAATTTCCAAAAAGATACACTTCAGTCATTAAATAATTTTGATTTTTAAAGATTATGAGCATTGATTTATTTGAAAAAAAAAATATGTCAGGCTAATAAAAAAAGTCTTTAAAAATTTACCAATATTAAATTTTTTTAAAATATTATTTCTAGAATTTATAGATCAGTAACAATTTGTACATAAATAATTAAAAATTCTGGTTTGAGTAAATTGCCACCTGTAAATACAGTAGAGCATCGATTATCCGAAACAATTTGGAACTGGGTTGTTCGGATAACTGATCATGTATGAAAAAATATATTAACCTATCCCATGTTGAAAGTTTTCTGCATTGTGTGTCACTTCGTGTTGAATTTTCATCAATGTTAAGCCTAATGAAAATTTTTTTTAAATAATAATTGTGGCTATTGTATCGTTAAAAATTATTTCTTTATTTTGCGCAAACAAAATAAATATATTGAAAAATATAAAAACAAAAAAGTTATATTTTGGAAGCTAATCCAGTATCAAAAACATTCTGATTCAGCACACGACACACATCTCAACAACACAGTCCTCAGAAAAACACCACACAAAACAAGCAAAACTTCTTTTTTCTTGGGTTTATCTGGAGATGTCAGTCGCTTGGGCTATATTCTCCGACAAGCTGAAGCAAAGCACACCACTCACGATTGAGAAAAAAAATACCTCGTTCAAATACTGGCACATCCTTAAGTACTTTCTTGATGTGTCATGCTGAATTAGAACATTTTTGATACTAGATTAACTTCTGAAATATAAATTTTTTTTTTTATTTTTCAATATATATTATAATATATTTATTTTGTTTGTGCAAAATAAAGAAATAATTTTTAATGATAAAATATGTTTGTGCCAGTGCTGCCAGCTAAAACACGCACACTAACTAAAATAATATTAGAGTAGCCCAAGACATAGCCAAATATTGCAGTGCCACAGCACTAGCAGAAATTTGAATTTACCAACTGGATCACTTTCAGTTAACCGATTGATCGGTGTTCAGATAATCGATGCTCTACTGTATAACTTATTTTAAATACAAAGTTAATTAACTACAATATAATTTAATAATTTAGATACATTAATCAACAATGTCATTCTGTTTTTTCAGCCTGAAGTGGTTGTATTAGTCTTTGAAACTTTTTTAAAAGATTTTGGATATAATATTGATGCTCTAAATCAGGTTTGTTGTTAATTATTATTATTATTATTTTTAATACTAAATGCTAACTATTTTTACAGTTTAAAATATATGTAATATGATTTTTTTCAGCTAAATTGGAATGCATCTAATACATTTGAAGGAAACATTGAGAATTATGAAGAAACTATTCCACTACTTAATTTATTAGTTGTGATGTAAGTATGTATGTTTAAATTTTTATTATTTATATGCATGTATAATTAGTTTCTATTTAAAAAATTAGTAAACTTAACATGTTGTATAAGGATTAAAGTACAGTTTCCTATCACATAACTTCATTTAACAGATTAATAAATAAAGAAATGTTAGGAAGGAAATAAGGAGTCTAGAAAAATTGTTTTTACTTGATAAAACATGTTTTTGGAATTGTTACATCCCAGCTTCATATTGTTTGAATCAAACAAAAACAGAGAGTGACATTTATAGAACTAGTTTGAAATTCAAATTCTAACTCTCAAATTTACGTGACATCTTTTGATACGGGGCTTAAAGTGACTTGCTTTTTTAGCCTTTTTTTCATAGCCCCCCTCTTTTTTTTTTAGCTCTTTCTGAGGCAAACTCGCTTTTTTCGCTTTTTTTTACTTCCCATGTGGAATTTTTTAATTTTTTTTTTTTTTTTCGTAAATGCACTCTGGTGTGATATAGTGACCAGCACGCCTCATACACCTTATCATGCAATCGTGTACGACATAATAAGGACTGTCGTCTACACATATATGTACACTGTATATAGGCTAACATAACAAGGAGCTTCCCAAGGCTTTCTACTCTGCACATGCTGTAGGAATTTGTGTGTGAGTTCTCCTTGCTTGTATCCTTGTGAAATAACAATCTCTGTGGCGCTTTGATACAATTACACGGCACTAAGGCATAAGTACTGTACATCTATAGTTTGGTGTTAAGAGTGATTTTTGTATGGCATTATTTTAGCATTTCTATTTATTTAAGTGCAGTGAACAAAAGAAAGAAATAGATTTTACTTAATACTAACAGTAGAAACTCGTGTTTTAGCAATGGAAAATCGTATAGAATCCAATAGTTTCTGAAGTAAGTTGGCTAAGCAAACTTTTCCTTCCCAACAGTCTTTCTACTATTCTTCTTTAGCTTAAATGATGACATCACTCGTTCTTGACTACTGTAGAAAAACCGAAAATAATAATTGTTGAGTGATAATAAATTTGATTTCTACTGTTGTTATTAAATAAAGTGTTATTGGACACTCATTTAAAATCTTATATCTTTCTAGCACTCTGTAAAATTAAAGATCAAGCAAACCTCGTGTCAGAAAATACTAGATTTTAAACTAGTATCCTAAATATTACGTAGGTGTATAAGCTTAAATCCGCTGTTTTTTAGTCAGAAAAACACACGTTTTTTTCTTAGAAAGCAAAAACAAATTTATTCAAAGTACTTTCCCTCACTAGTGACACATTTGTTCCATCTCTCGGGCAATGTGTGGATACCATGCCAAAAAAATTTCTTCTCTTTCAAGGCAAACCACTCATGAAGCCATTTTCGGATGTCTTCGTAAAAATCGAAGTGCCGCTCAGCAAGCGTGTGTCCCATCAATGAAAAGAGGTGATAGTCGGAAGGGGCCAGGTCTGGTGAATAAGTGGGATGGGGTAGCACCTCCCAGTTGAGTGTCTCCAAGTAGTTTCAGACCAATGTTGACACATGCGATGATGCATTGTCGTGGAGGAAAATTAGCTTGTTGTGTCTTTGCTGATAATCCGGCCTTTTTTCACGCAGAGCACAGTGCAATTTGATAAGTTGTTTGTGGTAGCGGTGAGCATTGACAGTTTCACCATGTTTCAACAGCTCATAGTAGACAATACCCTGCTGATCCCACCAAACGCACAGCATTGTCTTCCGTCCAAAGCGATTTGGTCTTGGGAAAGATGTTGATGGTTTGCCTGGATCAACCCACGATTTCCTGCATTTAGGATTCTCAAAATATATCCATTTCTCATTGCCAGTTACAATCTGATGCAGAAACGACTTTCTTTTTTTGTCTGGCGAGCAAGATTTTGCATGTGTTTTGGCGTTGCTCCATCTGCCTATCGTTCAATTCATGCGGCACCCATTTTCCGATCTTCTGAATCTTTCCCATAGCACTTAGACGCATGGAAATGGCTGGTTGAGTAACACCCAATTGCTTGGCAAGCATTTTTTGCAATTGGGTATCGTCCTCATCCAAAAGAACCTGCAGTTGATGGTCCTCAACCTTCCTGGGCCGATTTTCACGCTTCTTGTCACTCAGATAAAAATTTCCATCTTTGAACTGACGAAACCAATCTCTGCACGTGGTTTCCGATAAAGCTCTGTCTCCATAAGCCTCCACAAGCGTTCGATGTGCTTCGGCAGCCAATTTCTTCAAATTAAAGCAGAAAAGCAAAGCTTGCCGCATATGCTCTTTTTCTGGCACAAAAGTAGACATGATTACAAAAAAAAATTATATGTTGTTGTATGAAATATCTGATGATGTGCACTGATTAATGTTGACAGACGTCAAAATCACCAAAAAACCAATATGGCGTCGTCATGGTAACTTAATACGCTCGCTTACGCCATCTATAATGTACCATGCATAACAGCAGATTTAAGCTTATACACCTGGTAATAACTTCTGTAGAGACAATCTTTAGACAAAGACAAAAGTTTGGTTTTAAGTGGGTGCTTATATATTTGATGCGCACCATAGTTTTCTGCTTTCTAACAGTATTCTTCATTTTTCATTTCAACAGAAACTTATAACCTAAAGTAAACCACAGTGGCACGCTGTCCATGGAAGCTGTGGAAGCACCGCTTCCCTTGTATTTTCTAAAATACAAATACACATTGTGCGATTTTTTCATATTTTAACATACATTTAATTAATTAAAATTAATATTTTATTATAACTGCATTATTTATTTTATTACAAATTTATATACATATGAAAAACAATGATAAGATTGAAGCCAACTTCCAGGGGCAATCAGTTAATTGCGCATCTGTCCAACACACAATTAACTGATTGCCCTGGAAGTCTGCTTCTTACAGAAACACAGCTTCCCTATCATCAAATTAATTTGTAAATATTTAGCATCGAAAAACTGCTATTTTCACTTTAATCTAGCTTTTCAATATGTTTCTAGTCAAACTCGGTCAAAAAATATTTAATTTATAATTTATTGAAGATTTTAAGTTTTTAATACTAGAAGGTAATTAGCATAAATTACATGATGTCATGTTTCATCTTCACTCCTGTTCAAATTTATTTTCCTAGACATGCGTCTATGTTTGTTTTTGCTTCTACTGGAGTTTAGACTTTTATTTCAACTCGATCACTTTGGTTATACAAAGTGGGGAGAAGGATGTCAGGTGATTGCATGCCTGATTTTATAAAACAGAAATTTCCTTACCTTGAAAGTTTTATTATGTTTTCAATTTTAATTATTATTAATTAACTTTTTTTGATGGATTCTTATATCTTTGTATTATCTGAAGTTGCAGGTATAAATGCATGAAACTTAATTTAAAAAATACGTTTTTATTAGATTTTAAAATTCAAAAATAAATTAAGTATTATCAGAAATGCTAAACTATAAATATAGTGTGTTTTACAATATTATTGCAAACAGATATAGTCAATTATTTTATAAACATATTTATTATTTAAATTCTTATAAATTATTTAATTTGATGCAACGGGTACGCGCGGCAATTTAAAATCGGTCGATTTAAAATTTAAATGCATGAGATGAAGAAATCAAAAAAATAATGGGCGGACCATCAAAAATTTAGCAATTTACAACATGATGTTGAATGCACAAATTCGTTTATATATAACTAAAAATGTTCTTGAAATTTCATTTAAAAAAATGCATTTGTGACAATACCTAAATGAAATTCTTACGCAAGAAACAAAAATTGTACAATTAAAACACTTTGTGTTAATTGTACAATTATCACATTGTTATTATCATGTCAGCGAAGCGGCAATAAAATATTTACTACCATTTTGCACAATATACTTCTGTGAAAGCGGATTTTCGGCCGTGACAAACATGAAAATTAAACATCGTCACTAACTTCAACTCGAAGATGACTTGAGACTGAAGCTGACCAAAAAGCAACCAGATTTTACAAAGTTGCGCAAAGAAAATCATGCACATTTGTCACATTAAAATTAAATAACCTTATGTTATTTTCATTATTATTAGAATTATATTTTAAAGGTAATAAATGTAAAAAAAACTTATTCTATTTAGCACTAGCTGTCTATTTACAGCTTTGCCCTCATTATATCAAATTTTCTCGTGGAAGTAAGGTATATTTTCTCGCAGTAAAATGTAGCCCATGTTCATCTCCAACATGTAAGCTATCTCTGTACCAAATTTTATTAAAACTTGTTCAGTTGTTTAGATGTGAAAAGGTGACAGACAGACAGAGACAGAATTACCTTCGAATTTATAATAATAGTATGGATTAATATGAATTTCTGCTATACGGATACACGAGTTTGAGCTCTTTCTTGAAGTGGTACGAAGGAAAAACTAATTGGGAACCACTGTTCTACACTCCTTGTTTGTTTGCTAATGTTTCTTTATTTATTAGTTTTTTAAATAACTTTATTTGTTGTAAAATGTGTTTTTGTTTATTATATTTCTTAAACTACAGTGATTGTTGCTCTATTTAGAAAAAAAAATACATTTTATAGACTGATGAAAGTTGTTTGTATATCAGTAATATATTATAACATTAATTACACATACAAATTATACTACATTGTGCTTGTTGTCTTGATCCTTTTTCTGTAGAACAATGACCAAGACAACAAGCACAACTATCATTCCTCTTTTTGATGCTTATTCCTTTATATGTATATATTATGTTGTAATAAAAATAAGCATTAACAGATGAATTTTCAGTTTAATAATCTTGTAAAAATAGTTTCTAGAAATGTTCATAGAAAGAATTACATCATGTATAGTGTATTTTTGTATACATTTACCACATTTTTAGTTTGTTTATAAAAATTAATGAAAATGCCATTTTTCTTAGGAAAGTCGTTGCCACAAGATGCAGCATTAACGATTTCACTGTCAGAGATATCATGGAGCCAAGTAAGACATTTCTTTTTTAAAATATTTTTGTATTAAAATTAAGTACCTAAGTAAAATTTTCTGTATTTACTAATTTAAACATTTCTTGCTTGATGCTGTTTGTCCATTTTACCGTAAGTGCAATAAAAATAAAAATGTAATTATTAGAATGTTACAGAACTAATTAGAATATGGTTTACTTAGTTCAGACATGTTCAAAAAAACAAGATTTTGGAGAGGGTTGCAAATTAAAAAATAGTTCAAGAGATGATTTATAAACATAAATCATCTCTTGAACTATTCTTTGAAGTATATAAACAGATTTATGCATCCATTCTTTAGTAACAGACATAGAAGTTTTTTGAAGTGTTTTAGATAATGTAGTTACTATTGTAACGTGTAGAAAGGTTATTTATGTTAAACATATCTTACAATTCTACATTGCCATGTGTCAAATTTTTCATTTAGCAATGAATTATAAATTTGTCATAGTTTACTCAAAGTATACAGTGTAAATGTTCAAAAGCCTGATAGTTATACAATCAATTTGCCTTAAAACAAACACCAATAAAACGAATTCTTGAGCTAAAGTGAACTTTGCCATTGCCCCAACAAAATCCATTGTTACAATGTCAATTTTCACAGAATAAAGCAAACAAAAATTTTACCAGAATTTGTTAAACCAAACTGTAAATTATCTTCATAACCTAGAAGAGATAACCCTGTTTTCAATAATGGTTTTATTATTTATGTCAAAAAGTATAAAAAGCAATGTAGTACTGTAATAAATATTCTATTTTGAGTAGAATAGATTTTCTTCTAGTAAGTGAAGATGGTTTCAACATCCAATTGTAGAGCAATTCAAACATTGTTTTTAGCGGACCATTCTATCGTCCTCAGAAAGTAGGGATTAAAGTCGAAGGATGCCCTCATGAGACCACATCCCTTTAAAATGGATGCGTTCTCATGCAAACACATGTTAGTTTGCATATCGTGGTGCATATGGTGATGCCAGTTTGTCTACTTTGCATCAAATTTGGTTTCTTTTTTATTCTTTTGGAGCCAAAATATATTTTCTACTTTTTCAAACAATTTTCAGAAAAAAATTTTTTTAGCTTTATTTTGTTTAACCACTCTGATATACTGCTCCACACTTAAATGGCAAATATCAGCTCTTCCTTGTTTTGTTAGATTTGAAAATAATTTATATCATTAATTAATTTTTGTTAATTAAATTATATTTTATTCACTTTACATAGTAAATCAATTCAAAATATTATAATTTAGAGAATTTGATTGCCTATTAATCCTTAACTCTGTAAATTATACAACCTTTACCTTGATCCTGAAAATTGTTAGTATGAATTTTTGATAAGCAAACTAACTACTGTTTCCCTAGCATTTCATATTAACACAAGTTGACCATATTAAAGCCAAATAATTGCCAGATTAGTTTGGACTATATTAATGCTACTATTAATAATTAAATTCACATCCATGCATTAAGCAGCAGTTGCGGGTTCAAGTCACACTCTGGGCTAATTCTTTGCCTCCAGAACCTTATAATTAATATTTATTATGTGAGATTCAGAGAGTTGTTTTTCCATAAATTTGCAAAAAAGGGGAAATTATAAAAACTTTCCTTCATTCCATCCGGTTCCCAGGAAGTAAAACCGGGAAGGATCAAATGTTAACTTAACTGTCCACAAGCAACTAAAGAACTCATGTTTATAGGAGTCTTCCCCTCGCATTGACCTGAGAAAATATCGAAAATATGTTATAACAATCAATTGTTAAAATTTGAGAAAGTTGATATTTAACTAAACCCACAGGGAGAATCTAAAAACAATGAAAAGAAATAGTAAACCTTTGAGAGGATTTTGTTTAATTCCCACCATCCAGCGATGACACATTCTACATGCCATCACTACCAAACAACAAGTCACCTGATCAGATTCCCACACCCGATGAGGATATAACATGAGCGCACCCGATCTTTGGGGTGATCATCCAGTAAAAGCTATCTTTTGGTGTGGTGCCTTAGCCACAAGAAAAGTCCCAAAGGATTACCTTTATTTTTGGTGATTGGTGCCAGTGTCATTTTGAACATCTTCCCCCACTTAGGCGCACTGGTAATCTAATTACCAATAAGTTAGAACAAATATGAAACTTAAATTTAAAATAGTTGGGTAGCAAGGTAAATATTAACTTAAAATTATTTATGTAAAGAAATGTAACAGATTTATTAGATAAATATTTTCAACATCAATTTCTAAAATGAGTGTTCTGGAAATTCAACAAATTATTGAACTATTTATCAATCTTATTATTCTATAATTAATTTTTCAGAAGAGATTTGAAGGATGACAGCCCTAAGTTTTGAAAATATAAGTCTAACAAATCTGTTAGATTTTAAGCCTTTAACGCTGAACTTTTTATCCACTAACCCAGTGGTCGGCAACCCAAATGCATTGGCGTACCACAAAACATGTAATTTGAAAATACTGGACACTATGCATGTCGCTAAAATAAAATTATAAAATTTATTGCACATTAACACATTTTTATTTAACTATAAAATACACACTATATAAAAATATTAAAAAAAATTACAATATTTAAATATTAGTGACTCCCTTGTGATTTAATTTTAGAAGCTAACACAGCTAATTTTAGTATTTTTAATAAGCTTAATAATTTTAGTAATTTTTAATAAGCTAATTTTAGAAGCTAATTATATCAATATTTGCTTCATAGTTTGAAGTTTTTAATTTTATGCACAATTGGTGTGCCACTCAAAATTCTTTCGTGTGGCATAGGTTGCCAACCACTGCACTACCCATCAACAGCTGAGTGGATCAAACCATCGAATTCTGATAGTCGGTCGTGGGTTTATGCTCGGCTAACGGGCCAACCAGGTGGAGTTTTCTTCACATTAGTAACACCTAAACACAAGCCAATTTCCTGTTGAAAGTTATTTTTGGAGGAATCCTCCCTCAGCAGATTGCCCACGTGTCACATTGCGTAACAACTAAACCAATCTGACACTAAACTGTTTAAAAATATTTGATTTATGAATTTTGAATAATGTTATGAGTTTTATCCACTTGTAATATATATAATTCTAGTTATTTTCAATTAAATAAAATCTATTTAAAAAATTCCTAAATAATATAATTAAAAATGTTGTGGAAAAGATAAAAACAAATAAAAAATTATCCTCTAGCAGAATTTCTAATAAATTTTATGCCAAATTATTCAGATAATTTGTTGTTATCACACTCAAATAGCATAAAAATTAGTTTTATTTTTATAAGTTTTTAAAGTAAAAATTTATTATTGTGAATGAATGAAATGGATTAAAAATAATAATAAATAAATTTATAAATCAAATATTGTATAAATAATTTTTAATGGTTAAATAATAATTATGCTTACACGATTTATATTAACATTTTTTCTTTTTTTTTTCCATTATTTAAAATAAAAAGTAAATTTTTATCAAAATCTGTTGCAGAGCGTAAAAGAACTCGTCGCATTCTATCGTACTTTGCGAATTATTGGCAGTTTTCTGTAAAGAATTTGGAAATGTGGGTAAAAGCTAAAGAAAAATACGTAAGTTTAGATTTCAAAAGCTATTTTATTTGGAAAATTTAAAAATTTATTTTTGGTTCTAAAAAGCATTATGAGTTTGAAATGAAATTTGAAGACTTTTTTATGGGGGAGTTCTTAAATAAGTGTCTGGGAATGGGTAATGTTTGTAGCTATGTTTCCATGCCCTTTAGATGAAACATTAAAACAAATAACTATTCATTTTATTATTATTATTATTATTATTATATATAATAAATACAACTGGCCCAATAGTTATTACAAATACCAAATGAATAACCAGGTTAGTCTGGAAGAGGAGATTGGATGGAGGTCTAGTATTGTGACTGGCAACTTGTCTGCATAGTAAGTGAGAATTGTGGGTTTGAATTTCCTTCCAGGCCGATCTTTTCTTCCAGAATATTCTAAAATTAAATTAAAATTAATTTATTTATTTATAATTATTGTATTTAACAAGAGACTGCAGCCAATCTCCTGCCGAATTGCTTAGTGATTATTAAGTCCTGTAGTCTGATAAAGAATCTGGCTGTTCATTTGGTAGTTCAATGAACAATTGTGTAATTTGAATAATATAATTTTTTATTTTTAAAAAGTGATTTTGTTTTATTTCTAATTTTAAATTGTGATTGCCTTTTGTTTTCTGTGTGTGATGTTTGATTTCAATGAAAAGAAAAAACTGAAGACTTAAAGGCAACATTCTTGAAAATATTTAGCATAATTAATATCCAAATGATGTTGTATATATGTATTTATATTTATCTTTTTTAAGTTTTTAGATTAAAAAGTTATTTTGGATGTGGATTCTTTATCTGTTAAAATGTTTAAATGTTAATTATTTATTGTGACATCGTCACAATGCCAGGCTGCAATTTTTAACCATGTTTTTAATTTATTTAATTTAAAATATATGCTCTCCAACTCAAATTAGTAATGTTTTGCCCCTGTGCATCATACTTTTTCTGTTAGCAATAGAGTCATCTATAATATCTATCTTTCAGGGAGAAATATTTGAATTGAAATAACATAACTTCCGGTTTGCATCAGAAGTTTGTATATAGTTAATAGGGGTCTCCTGCCTCTAAGGTTTCCATATCTGGTCTCATCTTTCATCTTACTCCATTCTCGAAATTAAGGAAAGACAGAGAATGGTGGTGGGAATTTATAGTTCTACAATTTTTTCAAATTGCAGCCCAATAAATTTTTCAAAAGTGTTTGTAAGGAGTCCATTCCAACTCATTATATTTTGTTTGGGGATTATTTTTAGTTTGTTAAGGATAGACTACCACACCTTGTTTGGACAGAATTGTTAATTCTAAACTCACCTTACTACAATGACTGCCAGCAGCAACCTATTATGTCGTCGAACCCAGAAACGACATCTTGGGAGAGACTTCTGGAAAGTTAAAAGAACAATCTACCACCCCAAATTGTTACCAAAAGGCACAATGAAAAATTTTACAAGATTAAATTAAGGGTGATGGCACAACTTAAAGAAAGTTTAGTAGAATTAAACAAATGTTAGCCACTTAAGTACATAAATAGGGTAATCGCGTAACACCACCACAATCACACTATGAGACAAATGTGAAGCTTGAGATCAAACGAGGAGGAGCTAATGATTGAGCAAGGTAAAAGCAAGGCTTTCAAGTTCCTTTGCTGACATAGAAGCTTCTTGGTGATGATCAGGCAAAGTTAATTTGTAAGATTTCCGTTTCATATTTTTACTTGTCGATTTTGTGGAGATAATTCTAAGATAGTTATAATTTAATCTATAAGTCCCCAATTGTTGGAAAAAGTTTCTTGTGTGTATATATATATATATGTACAGTACAGTACAATAATGAAATATAGGTTGGGGAAAAAGAAATCCATTATTTTGTCACTAGATGGTTGTAGTGATATATATCTCATGAAGTATTGATGAAACAAGTTCAGACTTGTGCTCATTGGAAAAGTGACATTTCGTACTAAAAAAATTCTTTTACAGTTTTTAGATTGGTCGATTCAGTTGTGAGTTACAGGGTGTAAAAGATGGAAGTTAACAGTGAGAAAATTCGGTATGTTTTACAATTTTGCTTCAATAAAGGCAAAAATGCAAGCCATGCAGCTGAAAATGTGAATGGTGTTTATGGTCCCGATACTGTCACAGCCAATTATATATGCAATTTTGATTTTGTCGATTCTGTTCTGGTAATTTCGATGTTAAAGATGCACGTTGCACAGGTAGGCCTGTTGTTGAAAATGTCGATAAAATCATGGAAATGATCAAACTAGACTGGCATGTTAGCAGTTGTAGCATCACCCAGGAGCTAAAGATTGACCACAAAACAGTTTTAAACTATCTGCATAAAGCTGGAATCAAAAAGAAGTTCAATATTTGAATGCCACATGGATTGATGCAAAAAACATGATGGATAGAATTTCCATCTGCAAAGCCTTGGCCAAACGGAATGAAATTGACCCATTTCTTAAATGGATGGTGACTGGGGATGAGAAATGGGTTACATAAGACAATATTATGTGAAAACAATCATGGTCAAAGTGCAGTGAAGTGGCTCAAACGGTGGCCAAACCAGGACTAACGGCCAGGAAGGTTTTGCTGTGCATTTGGTGGGACTGGGAAGGAATCATCTACTATGAGCTGCTTCCATATGGCCAAACACTAAATTTGGACCTCTACTGTGAATAATTGAACAATTTGAAGCTAGTGATTGACCAGAAGCGGCCAGAATTGATTGGCCAACAGGAGAGGTGTTGTGTTTCATCAGGACAACGCCAGTCCACACACATCTATAACGACTCACCAGAAACTCCAGGAACTTGGTTGGAAAGTTTTGATGCATCCATCTTATAGTCTGGACCTGGCACCAAGTGATTACCATCTTTTTTTTATCATTGCAAAACTTCCTTAGTGATAAGAAGTTGGCATCAAAAGATTGTGAAAATCACTTAGTCGAGTTTTTCACCAATAGTGACCAGGACTTCTATGAGAGAGGCATTATGAAGTTATCTTTAAAATGGCAATAAATTATAAAACAAAACGGTGCATATTTGACCCAAGTTGGACAAGACTTTATTTAACATGGTTTAGATGTTAAACAAAGTCTTGAAATAAATGTAAAAATAATGGATTTTTTTCCCAATCCAATATATATATATATATATTTCATTATTCTACATATTCAGGCTTAGAAGAATAAATATTTTTTACTATTATATATAGTAATTATTTCAGGTTTTTGATTCATTAAGAATTTTTTGTTACTTATTTCCTGCAAAAAGTTCAGGCCTGGCACTAGCCAAACCCTCGTTTATGTAATGTACTGTTAGGAAACTATCTGGGCTCTGGATAGAAATACAGGTATACCTCGACTTACGTCATTTCGAGTTACGTCGTTCCCGATTATACATCGTTTGTCAAAAAAGTATATGGAAAAATCAAGTTTAAGTCATTTTATTCGACTTTACGTCTGTCCGCCACAAACATTGAAGTCATAATATCACTAGAAAAATGTTTAAAGCACATAAAATCATATTAAAATATATACATTTACAAGTATGTACTGTATTTACAGTACATGCATTCGTAAATTTAAATTACTTTTTTCTGTACTATATTAAAAACTAAAATTTATTTGTTTGTAAGCTTAAAATAGATCCTTATTAACCATACATTATTAAAAATGCATTAATAAATAAAATACAGAACCGGAATTGGCAATTTATGGTTTAGCCTAGTGACAAGTTGATTTGGAGACAAGTAAATTCAACTTACGTCATTTTTCGACTTAAGTCGTTCTCCTGGAACCAATTAACGACGTAAGGCGAGGTATACCTGTAGATGAGGCATTTTACATGTTTTTCTTTTTAAAGAGAGAATATTTCGAGTTTAATAAAGTTCAAAAAATTTTTTAGAGTGAAGCAGCCAAGAGAAAGAAGGAATTGATGAATGACATAGACAGAATAAAACAACAAATAAATGAGAAAAGAATACAGTTAACTATGAACAGTGCTCAAGATTCTGAGGTATGCAATTTAGTTATATATTCTGTATAAATTGGTTGTGGTTTAGCCTCAGGTGGTTGTTTCTCTATGGAGACAATTGGCACTTTTTTTTAAAGACGATTTTTTGTAAGGACGGAATGATTGTCACATTAAGTCTGCTCCACACATTTGGTATTTGATGGATGTCAAGCAAACGTTTGGCCAATACAGAGTAGCTCTTGGACAATTTGAATACCAAATATTATTCATGAGTATTGTTTCCCAGTCCTTGTTGGTATATTGAGCCAAATTGATAGGCAATTATTTGCCTTGGCAAATACCGGAGGCATGGAGCTGGCTTTAGCCGATTAATGATGAACGATTAATCGGGATTGTATAATCATCTCGATATACAATTAATCATTAATTAAAGGATGTCAGATATTTTAAAAAATATCCTGTTAAATTTCAAATTCTTTTTTAGTTTTTATACAGCCTTTTCTGGTTGCACTTAGTATCTACCAATTAAATATATAAATATTTATTTTATTTATTAACAGTTTAAAGTTGTACGAAGATATGGAAAAATGAATTACATTAATTGTTGCCAATTAAGTTGGGTTATCACTAATGATTTTAATAGTCAGAGATTCAATTTATATACAGAGGAGAGAAAGGCATTGATTTTTGTTTCTTTGTATGTAATGGTCAGTAAGACATAAAATTCCTGTAGGTTTTAGGTTTATTCATTATACTAGTAGGTACACAGCATGATCATACCAATGTAATAAAGAGAATTTTTTTGCTTAGCATCCTGTTTGCATTCTAGTGTGCTTACTTGCTTGATATGTAGGATGCTAAGAACTGCATGGGTTGCTATGTAATTTCCTTAAAACTGATGCAAGTGGCACATAAGTAACAATTGCATTTGTTGGCTAAACAGGATTCTTAAATTAAAAATGCTTGAGTGCTACTCATTCTTTCTTATTCTGTTCTCTAAATGCTTTTGGTAGTTGTCATCTCCTATTATCAGTATAACTAACCTAATATATCGATAATAGCTAAGGTTGCTGACTATCTGGTTTTGAGCCAAACCATCCAGATCCATAGGTCTTGTCCAGTTTCCAGTCAAGAGGAGTAACATCAAACGTCAGGCATTTCATCCAAATAATGTACTATGATAATTTCTTAATAACTTAATATAATCAAAGTTATCACAGTAAATCCAATAACCAACACCTTATAAGTTGCTGAGGAAGTTTATTAAAAATGAATGTTTTCGATCTACTCAATAGATCATCATCAGGTTAGAACATTCAAAAACCGATAATATATTAACTAAAAAGAATAAAACTATACATGATACACAAAATGTAAAAATAAATAATATATCAATACTACTATAGCTAAACATTAATATGATCCATCATAACCAAAAAGAAGTTACTAAGTTTCCTATAAAGCGATTATGGATCATATTTCGGTTCACAAGCTACTTGTAAGCTTTTTAATGGCAAACTTCCAAGCTAAGGGAAGACCCTCGGCATCTCTGGCATTAATGCATCTTTCACCAAGTTTGCACCTGTATATTTCCATTTTTCTGGCAGTTTTTGCTAAAGTTGGATAGTGTACTTGTCTGACAACTTCTGCTTCCTCCCAGCCAACCACAGATCCTTGGGCTTGAGCCATCTGGGCCAATATCATTGTGTTAGATCCTTTTCTAACATCATACTTATGTTCTCTGATCCTTACCCCGAGGTTTCTCGTTGTAACTCCTATGTAATCCTTTTAATCCTTTTTTATCCTTAACTGTTGGTTCTCGTAGGGGATCCTATAAACTCCTGCTTTATCTTCTCTTTTAATATCCCCTTTATCATTTCTTAGAATCTTGTACAAATTCAGAGCTCTTTTCAATACCAATGTATAATTTTTAAAGCCTGCAATATTCTTCATGAGGCCTCCTAAATATTTGCTGAATGTAAACTTCGTGTACTTAAAAAAGTCTCCAGACAGGGTCCTACTATTTCTCGCCTCAAATTTTCTAATAATACCAGCAATTATGCTTCTCTTATAACCTAAGGTTTCTGCTATCTGCTTAATCTTTTCTATCTCTTTAACTCGGTCAATAACGTTATCGCAGTATAGATACGCCATTCTTACCAAGGCACAAAAGGCTGCTAGTTTATAATGATATGGGTCATAGGACCTTGCCGGGATGTAGAGTGCGCTATGCATTGGTTTTGTGAACACACTAGTGGATACATGCCCTTTCCTAAAGACGATGTTAATATCCAAGAAATGTATCATTATCAAACTTTTCTGCTCTAGCTTCAGGTTGAGGCCATCTTTGTTCTCGTTGGTTCTTTCTATGAAATTACTAATTTCTTGATTGCTTCTCCATATTATAAAGATATCATCCACATATCTCTTGTAGTAAACAATGTCATTTCTGAAGCTATGCACCACTTTTTCTTCAACTTTTCGAACAACAAGCTCGCATAGAAGCTTTGAAATTGGGTTTACAATCAGAACCCCCTTTTTTGCTGAGTACGCTTGTGTTCAATGTTATCACAGTAACATTGTTATTTCACAGTGCTATAACACAGTAACAGTGCTATTTCTATCCAAGTTTTTGACATTGATTTGAGATTAGGTTTTGCCATCTTTATTAATGTGAAATGCAGTTTATGTACTTTTTGGCAATTATATACTGATGCCATCCATTTCTAGAAAATACGGGAAACAACTTAATATTTCGTGCAATTGTGTTTTTCCATTATTAATTTGAAAATTAATTGGCTTATGTCACAATTATTACATACGTCAGACATTCTTTTGAGTGCAAGGCTGTTAACAATATGAAATATTTGGCAATGTAATAACAATTTATATACTTGTAGATTGATATTATATTGCCAAGTGCTTGTTTAAAAATACAAAATTTCTTTCAAAAATAGGCAGAGGTGCCAAAAATTAATTATTTGGATGTGATAATTAGCTATGAAGCTTAAACTTTTAGAAATATCTATTTTTAAAGACTATTAGTGCCACAATAGAACATTTTTTGAATAAAACTTCACTGAAAACAGGTTTTCTGAACAGAATGGTTATTAATTCTCCAATAATTGGTGATATCAGTCATCATTTTATGATTGTTGTACATATTATTTACAGTATTATTAAAAAGACACGCATGTTATTTCTTTGTGAAACTCTTAAATTTATTATTTTTGTAATATTTTCAATAAATTTTTCTTCAAAAGTGCAAGTAAGTTTCATGTAATGATTTTTGAAAAATTGAATTAACAGATTACTAGTTTTATTAAAGTTAAGATATAATCCAAACTCTAGCCGTAATTAATAGAGCTATTATGGTATAATTAATATATTTAATAAATTATTATAATTATTAATTTAAATAAGAGATGGCACCTAATGTTTACCTCTAGTACCAAATTACTTGGCTTCTAATTATTAATTATGGTCAAAGTTTGGATTATTATCAATACATTGGACTTCAAGATGTTGATAAAAATATAAACAAACTAGTAAATAGCCAGGAAGATAGTTATATTTTAAAAATTTTTACAAGAAATTAATGGAAGAAAACACAAGGATTCTTCATCCTTTATCTATTTCAAATCTTGGAGGAACAAACCTTTTATGTATCGAGGTGGATAAGAGCTTACAATAAAAGGTAAACTCTGCTGTAACTCTGTTTGTTCCCAAGGTGTAAAATGGACAAAGACAGAGGAAGAACCCCTGTGATTTGTTCTGTTAATTTCTTTAAATTTTTAAAGTTAAATCTTACACTATGATTTATTTTAGTAAATATATACTATTATCAGGATATTTTAATGACAAAACTATAATGAAAATGTAATTAAAATAAATAAATTTCTCTCTTCTATGCCAGTACTGACTTTACCAGATTTTTATTTTATGAGTAAACATACAGATTTTTTAAACTTTAACTACGGCATGTTAAATTGTTCATATTAATGTGCTTCTTAATGCAGATAGAAGAAGAATGCAAAACTTACGTTGAAAATTTGAAGAAAATAATGAAAACAAAGGTAAATTGCTTTAAATACTTTTGTTGTTATAATTTTTAATTAATTATGAAAAAAATTATTGATGGACAAATTAGCTTATTCTATAAATTTTGTTGTTAGTTTATATTGGATATTTTTATACAATGTTTAAATGATGCGGTTAAATTTTATCCAAAATACACTTTATTTGAAGGAAGTGTAATCTTATTTGAGATAAACATTTTCCAAATGAATAAAACACTAGAAAATTTAAGAAATTCCAAAACTTTTGTATAAGCACTTGAATATTTGGACAAAAAATCGAATGGCATGACATTTAGTAGCACAAGTTTAATCAAAATTGCAAAAATATGAAGTGGTTATGACAAAGTTTGTAGTCTTCTTCCTTTAGAAAAAATAAAATTAAAAATTTTTAAACACAAGAAATATATATATTTTTAACTCTGCTCTGTAAGTGTTAAGAGGACTTTTTTTTTAACAAGCCCATTATGGGTTTGGTTGGGCCCACAAGGGGGCGGGGGATGGTGCCCAACATATTTGAAAGGACTGTCTCCAAAAAATTCGGAGTTTTTGATTGTCCGAATTTGATTCTGGGTCCCCAGCTACCATCTTAACTGTTTGGCCATCCGGAAGAAATATTTGACATATTGATAATGGTAATTAGATACATAAACTGGATGTTGTTCTCTAATTAGCAACATACAGTTGATATTTTCAATGTATTTTTTTTGAAGAACTAGTTTAGTTTTACTATAGGATCCAATATGTACATTAGTAGTTTCAGCAATCCTTCCCTTTTATGGAAATAAGTTTTGTTGCAAAAGGTGACTTTTAGAGAACTTTCATTTTTGGAAGTTAAGAACAGATTTTCAGAAATTTACACGGGATAAAATTTTATTTAGTTGGAGAAAATGTTTTTCACTGTTTGTAGGAACCAACAAGGGAAGGGCCTGCAGAAAAAACCGAAACAAGAAAATTGTGGCAAATGTAAAGTGTCTATTCTATAATTACTATAATAAACAAGAGTGTGAGATAAAAGCTAAATAAATTTCTTAATTAATGATACAGGGAAATCAGCAGTTACAATTGTTAACACCATTTGATTTTCTCTCTTGTTAGAAAAAACAGTTCAAGATTGTCAGGAAAAAAAATTCAAGTGAAGAGTAAAAACTAATTTGTGATAATTATAATAAACACCAATTATTGTCAAATGTGCCAAATTTCCCATTATGATTAGACCATTTATGTTAATTTAAGGATTTGTGAAATTATTTACTTGCAAATTTTGCCATCTGTTAAAATATTGGACTAATTATTAAAGTTTCTAAGTTATGGAACCATGTCTTTCATTTAAGCATTTATTAGATTTAAATGTCAACATGTTTTTCGGTATTTTAGTATATATTTTGATGGAATCCATTAGTTGTGTCAGATGGAAATTATTTTCTTAGTGACATAGTCTATGTAAAATAAGTAAATAAAAATAGATAGATAATTCCATGACTTAATACATAACTTTTTAATATATTATTACATGTGCATTCACATATGTTTGCATTATTTGTTATATAATGATTGTAATTGACTGTAAATTAAATGTATTTTCATTTCAGGATGAAGTAACTGAAAAATACCAAAAGTTAAAACAAAAATTTGCTGAAAGGAAAAGCTATGTGGTAAGATATTATTTATATGTAAAAATATATTAAAGTTTAGAAGTTCAAGTGCACCAATTATGTATTGTTTTAGTTTGATTTTTATTGAAATTGATAGATATGTAAGTGTATACTTATGGAAATAATAATTGTAAACTTTGAAAATGTTTTTGTAGAGTAACATCAATGTTGAAATAGCTTCTTGCATTGAAAAAAAGAAAGAATTGGAAAGTAAGATTGTATCCAGCGAACAGAGACAAGAACTGGAAGATCTGGCCGACAAACTTCAGTTATATTACCAAAAGAACGAAGAAATATTTTCCAAAATTGACGAGTATAAGAAATCAAGAAATACTCATGTAAAAGTGCAGGATAAATTAAACAAAGCCCTGGAATTTCTTAATAATCTTAATAAAGAAATAAATAAGGATAGGTTTGTTAATATTTTTTTCTTTAAGTATTGCCAAAAAATAAAAATAATTATTTTAAATTATTCAAATAGAATGGTTACCGCTAAATTAGAAGATATTACCAATTCAAATAAAACAGAGATACAGAAATCCGAGAATTTACAAAGACAGTTGGACCAGAAGAATTCGGAATTAACTCATTTGGAAGAGTGGAATCAGAGAGAAGAATTGAAGCACAAAAAACAGATTGAGGAATTAAAATCACTGATTGGTGAACAAGAGAAGTAAGATCTGTTTCTTTGACCTTTTGCATGATGATCGTTACTATCCTACCGACCGAAATTATAATTATAAATTCCAATTTGTAGGTGTATGGAAAATAATCAGGGAGAAGTTTTACAGAAACTCCTGTCAGAGAAACATAGAATTACCAACCGCATACAAAAGCATAAAGACGAAAGGAAAGAGTTAGACCAGGAAGTTGCTAAAATGACACTTTCTATGTCAAAGACTGTAAGAGTTTCTTTTAAATTAAATTAATATAATTAATAATAATAACCTGGCATTAAGATAAGAAATAGATAGATACAGTTGAAGTTGGTTAATTTGAATTCTTGGATAATTCAAAACTATTCTATACTTCAGAATAAAACTCAACAAAAGCAAACACATAAATGCATTGTACGAATTATTTGATTATTTCGAATATTTCTCGAATTGAATGTATTCTGTAAACTTGTGGAACATGGACAAAACTGTCACATTTTACAGTTGTGGGTTTTTTTTTAAACTTTCTCCCTTGTAGGAACTAAGAAGCCCTTTTTAGCAAGCCCATTACTGGTTTGGCTAGGTCCTCGATGGGGTGGGTCAGAGACAGACCTTTCCAAATTTTTTAATGTATAATCCAGACGTGTCAAAAACCCCAGGGGCTCAATTCCAGATCTTCCAGAGCGGTAGGTTGTCACCTTTAACTGCTCAGCCATGTAGTTGTCTTAGACACAAATGTCATTACAACTGCAATCTAGTGGAGTTGTTAACTTGATTTGTTTCTTTTAGTGATGTTTAGGTGTGGAAAATACACACAAATGAATCACTTCAAGTATATATATTTACTTATAGTGTGGTTTTTTATATTTCTTTTAAAAAATCTTAAAAAATTAAAAACTTTAAGGGGTAATACTGAATATAACTGCATTTTATCAGAGACAAAAAACTACTAAGATTTACAATTGTTAGTCTTTGTTACACTTGCACCCCTCTCTTCAGGTAATGCAATACATATTTACAATCGGTAAGCATATAGGTGTTACAAAATTATTATATATTATAGTATTTAAATGATTTATATTATACAGAACTAATGTCTTATGTTAAAACCTACCATGCTCTGCTATATCAATGTCCTACCCTCGAGGCATCGTTCTAATGACCTTTTGTCTATTTATGTGCTATTTTCCCCTTACCATTTCTGCCCACACGTCATCTATCTCCATCCCATTATTAAAGTTAATGGTGTTGTGTGCATTTACAATTGCGAAATGTTCCTTGAACCTTCGTAAAAACGTATTTTTTTTCTTTGTGGATTATTTTTATAAGTTTTTACGAAGGTTCAAGGAATATTTCACAATTGTAAAAGCACACAATGGTGTTGTGTGCATTTTGTTTCACTTACCTGAAGAGAGGGGTGCAAGTGAAACAAAATTTTGCACCCAAAATGCATTCTGTAATAAAGACTAACAATTGTAAACCTTAGTAGTTTTTTGTCTCTGATAAAATGCGGTGGTGGTATTCAGTATTTTTTTAAAAGAAATAATCACTTCAACTTTTTTTGCTAAAAACAAATGGGAGCAGAAAGGAATTTAAAGAGAAAGTATAATATTGCCAGAGAATGTGAAATATTGTCAAGCACTAGAAATTTGTAATAGATTGAATTCTCTGTGTTTTAAAAATTGAACCGATCTTTTCTTAATTTTCTGTAGTATTTGAAGATTCCCTAGATTTAATTAAATGTGAGTAAAGAAAACAAATCAAAATTTGTTTAATTGAATTTTTATAATTTTACATTTGTGTGTTGAATAGGAAACATAACTATATAAATTTAACAATTCCACTTAGTGACCTACATGTAAAGAAAATAACTATGTGAATTTCTGCTGAATGAAGAGATTTATAAAAAGAAAATTTCAATTTGACGGTTATGTAAGACCAAAATAATGTTGGATTTTTGTTTGTTTACAAAAAACCAAACTAAATACGCTTGAATCTCAAAATAATATTAAAAATCATCAGAGATTAGTGTATATAAGAGAATTAAAGACTGCTTCACACTGTACATATTGTCTGGTATATAAAATTACTGTACAATGGAATATTTACCTCTGAATAGTCGGTAAGAAAATGCAAAAAAGATTTGATCAAAGTATTAACCATTTCTTTTGCTGTATTTCTCCAAACATCATTTTTTTTATACTCTTAGTTTTCAATTATAGAGATTTCATTTTTTCAATGGATGTCATTGTTATCACTGCTGTGTAGTATCTATCGTGCTCCTTTGCAATGAAGTTTCTGCTTTATTGATGGATTGATTACAAACGTTCAGCATACACCCTTTGTTGGTTTTTGTAATGGTGACATTTTCCAAATATTGCTATCCTGTTGGTTACTGGATATTACAATATTTTTCCAATACAGTAAAAATAAACTTTGTGGCTGATCCAACATGTAAGTTTGCTGGTCTTACTGTAGCAACAAATATTGTCATAGTGTACCACAACATGCCAAATAAATATATGGGATTAATTAATATGCATCAATGTCCTTAATTTAAACAAATTATTCTTTCAATCACCATAACAGTGTATTTCTATTAATAGGACTTATCACACTGGTGTATAAGATTACATCAACACAGTCACACAGATTAAAATTGTTTTATTGGTAATTGTAAATAAAACAATTTTAATCTGTGTGACTGTGTTGATGTAATCTTATACACCAGTGTGATAAGTCCTATTAATAGAAATACACTGTTATGGTGATTGAAAGAAATTTTGTGGGATCTTCTAAATGTTACCAATTTAAATTACGTTAATTATTGTCCGAGAAATGTATGACGTACCTTAATCTATAGAGTAAATGCCCAAGTTTTGTCTTCTGTCTGCATTCAAACATCTTGTCTACCGCCCAAAGGCAGCATCGTAAACGAAAATGGAAACTTTGCAATAGAGAAGGCATTTTGTGTTCTGCAGCTCCCGCAATGATGAGTGATTCTAACTTTGCAAACTGTGTAATTGTGACTGCTGTGCCGTAGCGAGTATAGGAAGACATGTGCCATGCGACACAAGGTGAATGTTTTGAGAAATTGTAATCAACAAATGTGAAACGTGGACGGGCTTCCAATTTTTTGATGTACGTTATGACATCCTCGGATAATAATTAACATAATCACAATAATTTAAAAAGGTAACATTCTGTATGCATATATGTATAGACTAGTCTTAAGAGTTTTTCTTGATTATTATGGTTTGAATAATATTAATATGCATAATTTTAATAGATAATGATTTATAAAAATTAATTTAAATTAATTTTTATATCTTTATTTTCATTACTTAACAACATCCAGTAAATAAATTTGAATCAAGTTTTTTAATACAGAAATAATAAAATGAAAAATAAGTTACACAAATGTATTAATATTATTATTTCAACCCTAAGAGAATATGCTATAGTTAATAGCTTAAAAATGTAATCAAGTAAGTTTTATTAGTTTATCTGTCCAGTTTATTAATTTAAATATAATTAATTAACTAAGCATTATATGCAAAATACATTTATGTAATTAATATATTATTTAATCTTGCAATTCATAAATATTTTTATTTTGTAGTTTGAAAATTTTGGAATAAGTGTGGCAGAAAGATTAGAAGTCATCAGAGAAGATCTGGAAGAATTACAGAAGAGAGAAATTAATTTTGACGAATAATTTCTCATTGTCGTCAAATGTTTGCTTTATTAATTATATTATATGATATTTTTTCTAACGTTTAAAAGTTCAATATTAAATTTAACTTTTTACAAATTATATTTATGAAATGTATCTTTTATACAGGGTGTTCGGAAATTACCGTTAAAAACTTCTAGGAGGGAGTGAGTAGATAATATTTTGATTAGGAACCCATGTCTGGAAATGTACGGTTTCCATTCTATGGCAGTTTCAATTCAGATGTTGGTTCCTAATCAAAATATTATGTACTCACTCCCCTCTACAAGTCCTAGACGTTTGTAATGGGAATTTCTGAACACCCTGTATATCTTGCTTCTGTTACACGATTACATAAACTCAAGTGCCATTTAGTTATTGGTAGTGGGCTATTTGTTGGAAAAGATGTTTCTAACTCCCCTTCACATGGATGCAAATTTTATCTTGTGCTGGGTAAAAAATAATGGCATGGTTTAAATTCAGTCTTAGAGTGTCTCAGACCAATCATTGAATAATTTCAAATTAATCTGCATTACCTGTGTTTCGAGTTGAGGATGTTACTGCCATTTATAGCCTTTCCTATATTGAGGACGTGAAAACATTAACTTTGTTATGTGGCAACTGATATCTTTAAAATAGAGTGGAAAAATATCTGTTTAAAAAGTTTAATTGGCACAGATACAATCTTCTATTTTATGGCAAGTCATACTGGGATTAAGTGGGAAATTATGAAAATATCCTCCGAGTACAAAAGATAACTGGATGTTGGTCATATGTACAAGTGGATTCAAAAGTTCCCTTCCGTCAGGATAATATTTCGATAATCTGCACTCCCGTCGATATGTCTGGAGATTCCTTAATGACGGTGGCGTTATAGGGGGATGTTGGCGTGCTTCTTCCAGGGATTCGTCAGTTTCTTGTTCTGTAGTAATTCCAGGTCCCGACAGATCCTGGTGCGGGTGGTCTGTGGTTCGATGATGTCGTCCACGAATCCTGAAATACAACATGGATCTCTTTAGGAAATGGCAAATTATCATCTTTTCGGTAGTGTGGTCTGTAATGTTACATATTTGTCGTCTTAATTAATTTATTGGTGGTGTGTAAAATTACCGCTTCTGAACGAATTTCAGGTAATTTTAAAACAAGCGAACTTCGCGTGACTATGGACGAATATCATCCATTGGTTTTCATATTTGCAGAACAGACCACAAGTTGTGCATTTTCTGTTGTATCTGTAGTAAAATTGGGGTCCGGACACCCCACTTGATGTAAGGAATTGTTCCTTCAATTTTTGCCGCATTTTTTCAACATTAGAAATTTGACTAACCTCGGGTGGAAGCAGGAAAGGGATTGCCAAACTTCTCCACATACTCATCCACGTACTTCTGCACATCCTTTTTGCCCCTGTAGATGATAGAGATGGCTCCCTGGGCCCCCATCACAGCAATCTCAGCTGTGGGCCAGGCATAGTTGATGTCCCCACGCAGGTGTTTCGAACTCATGACATCGTAGGCTCCACCGTAGGCCTTGAATTAAAGAGGATTCTCTTTAGTTTTCTACTTAAACTGTGACATAAGTTTCCTTCTGAAAATACATCAAGATTAAAAAAAAATGTCTCCGTTTGTCTGAATTCGTGTAATTCTGGCACAAAAGTGTTGCTACACATTTACCACCATCCAACTTGAATTTTATTATTGTGTTTTCTGCACTTCACCCCTGGGTTACCTGTGTTTAAAGCAATTTGAAAGTTTATAGTGCACCAATTTTAAATTATCAATGTTTCTCCCATACACTGTTATGCAGGTGCAAGTCAACAATGCTATTGTATAGACTGGAACAACTGGATATTTTATTTTTTTTATAGTCTGTAAAATAGTATTCTTTCTCCTATACATCTGGTCATTCTTGATTTGACTAGAATTGGCCAAATGGCTAAAAATCCCATGCTTCTGGGTTATATATATATATATACTCTATTAAACTAAGTCAATCATTGCTTTATTAACCAATTAATGTTAAGGTTTATAACTAAATAAAATTACCATCTATAGTCAGTGACACCCTAACCACAGGGCTAAATGGGCTATAGCTCCTAGTGCACATGGCTGTCAGCTGCCTTGCAATTAGATACACATACTACAGGCATGGCACAAACTTGTCTTTACTGCCAATCAGAAAACATGCACTTACCTTCATTCTGAACTTCAACATATTCTTCCAATCTGGTATTTTTCAATTTGTGCATATTGTTTTTAATTTCTACAGTAACTGGTAAGTTAATCTTTACTTCCTAGCATAATTTTAAAAATAATTTTTTTATTATATCTTGAAGGCAAGGCAAGGCTAGCCATGGAACACAAATGAAAAAAGGTTCTCTGGCTTTGTCAATTGTAAATTAAAGGAAGAGAAGAAAGCAAGGCAAAAAGTTTTTCTGGGAAAAATGCCTACATTAACAAATTTCTATGGAAATTACATATTGGTAACACAAGGAAAAGAAGAAAATCAACAACAGTATGATGATACTGTCCAACAATCAAATGAGAAAGAAAAAGAAGATATTCAAACACAACATTTAGATGAAGATGAAGCTAATAGTATGATGAGTGTTAATTATGAAAATTAGAATAAATGAAAATAAGAAAAAATTAGATATGTTTTTGATTATATCTATAATGTAGATATAGATATTCAAAAACTGGACTTGGCTGCATCTAAAATGGTCTACAAATCGCAGAGCAGGTGCTACAAAAATGATATTTTATAGACATTTACTAAACAGAAAACAACAAAAATGAAACCAGCTCTCATATTCAAATTCTTCAGGAAAAGTTTATTGCATTCCATGCAAACTATTCAGTAGTGCAAATAATGCATTTAGTACAGATTCAACAATTGGAAACACAGTGAAAAAATTTCAGAGCACAAAAATTCTGCCCTGCATAAAGAAACCTGTGTACTTGTTAACCAATCTACAGAAAAATGTGAATATTTCAAAAATGATTCAATTATAACAATGGCAAAAAATAATACCATATTTATTCCCATATAAGACAAGGTTTTTATTCATTTTTCACTGCTTCCAAAATAGGTTGTCCTATACACGCAAGCAAAGGATTCTTTGCGTTTTCGCAATAATTTTTGTGAACCGTGTCAAAAAGCCTCGATTTCGAGTATTATTGAGAAAAAGTAATCAATTTTAAGCTATTGGATCAATATGCTCTACTGTAAATTTATTTGTAATAGTGAGTGGTGTAATGGTTATGTGGGCTTGTTAGTGTGTATTCTGTGCCGTTCTGGATTTTTAAAGAAAGGCAAGTTTCATTTTTCCATTACTGAACTATTTATTTTGGCTGTCTTTTACTAATTTACTTATTTAATAACTAATTAAAAAAAAGCAAAAGTAAATCATTTGGAGGGTTGCATTTTTCAATTATCCCTCAATAATAAAAATTAAAAAAAAAAACACAAACAGCCATGGGATGTACACACTACACCACCCACTCTTATATTTGCATTAGAGCATGTAAATTCAGTAGCTTAAAATTAGTCCTTATTTCTGAAAAATGTTTAAATTTCATGTAAGTTCCAATATCAAACTAAATTTAAATATTTTATGTTTAAAATAAAAATTACAAGTCAGGTAGTCATTTGGTTTACTTACAAGGAACATTTCAATGAAATAAATTTAAAAAGTCTTGTTTAAAAAGAGAGAAAAATTTTAGTTAACTGTTTTTATAAAACTAACTTTGTTGCTTGAATAATAAATTACTGTCGCTTACCTTTCGAGTTATGACAGTGATTTTGGGTACAGTCGCTTCTGCGAAAGCATAGAGAAGTTTGGCTCCATGTCTTATTATTCCTCCATACTCTTGTGCGGTACCTTTTGAAAACAAAAGTTTATTTAATTATATTTTTAAAACTTGATGCCAAATTTGTTTCCTTTATGTTGTTAAATGTTCTGTATTTGTGAAATAAGCCAAACTCCTAACTTTTGGTGTTTTAAAATTCAAATGAATCAACATCTTGACATTATAAAATCAAATATCTGCATCTGTTGGTCTAATGAAACAATATCAAATTGAGTTTTATAATTCCTATTAATGAAAGTTTATTTTTTGTCAACTTTTGTAATTGTCACAAAACAAAATTTATCATATTTTGTACTATTTTGCTTGTGGCATATAGTAAACTTGATTCTATTTAGTTGGCATAATTTTAAAAGCAAACTTGAATTGCTTACCCAATATGAATACTGTAATGAGAAGTTTAGCAATGCCATGAGCAAATGTGACCTAACTTCAACTATATTGTTAGCTTGTCTTTTAAATTAAGGCAATTTCAGTTTCTGTAATGCAATCATTCTGAGAATTTTCATTATGGAAAATCACAGAAAAGTTACCAAAAACTAAGGCAATGGCTTACATGAAAATATCTGGAATCATCTGTCTACAAAGGTTTGGGTTTACTAACTTTTTAGTAGTGGTGTTCTGTGGCACTTATGTATAGCCAAACCTTTGAGATATTCAAGAACACAAGATCTTTGTCCAAATATATCAAAGGTATTTGGTCTAAAGAGACTGGGTTATTTTACGGTTCTATTCATGTAACCATCAAATTTTGGCCTCTTGGAATAATGATTGTCCACAAACTTCAAGTAAATAAATATAAACATTTCGAATGTTATCCCTAGAGTGCATAGTAAATTAATGTTCAAAATTAAATGTTTTGTATAAAGCACTTAAGTTTTACAATGTGTAGCAGTATAGATAGGAACAGTCAGTTGACATTGTGAGCCAGTCTCACACAAGACATAGTCAAGTCTGACTTGCAATGTTATCAAACTCCTTATGTGTAAACTTTTTACTTGCTCACCCATTGCTATGCTATTAATTACAGTGTATGTAACACTTTATAGTGTGTTTCATTATAACATACAGTAATAGTAGAAATTTTGATGATAAATTTCTGGGAAAATGTTGGGCTTTTGAATGCTTATCCTGCAGACTTGTTAGCATTATTTTTTATTCTTGAAAGTACCTATTGCTATCAATGCTTTGATGAATGCTATCAAGAAATGCTTTGTTGAAACCTTTGGCAAAATAATTTACAATAAACAATTCAATTAAAAAAAATATCACTCGGTAAATTGTTTTACTGTGAATAAACATTCAAGAATTCTGTTATCGATAGCAAAACCACTAGAAATATATTTAAAAATATATATTTCTAAACTAACAATTATTAAAAAAAACCTGTTATTTTATAGTATAACTATTTTTAAAGTTCTATAGTTTTCAAAATTTAATCTCTCCTTCAAAAAAAACTTTTAAATATTGTGCAATATGCTAAAAGTTAGCCAAAATGATTCTAAAATAATTCAATTTTGAAGATTAAAATTTTATAATGTAAAGCAATAAAACTGTAGAAACTATTCACAATTTTAAAGGAACTAGCCACATATTTTATAAACTACTTAGCAAATCTACCAAGGGCAATATTGTTATCCTAAACCAGCAATTACAATGTAATTTATTTGGGGGAAAAATTTATTTTGAAATTTATATATGCTTACCTGGCAAAAACCCAGGAACGTCGACAAACGTCACTATTGGAATGTTAAATGCATCACAGAAACGAACAAAACGGGCTCCCTTGACGGAAGAATTTATGTCCAGACATCCTGCAAAAGGTGACGGCTGTCTTGATGACATTCAAATAATCCGATTTGTGAAATCTGGCACTCACCTGCGGCATATTTTGGATTGTTTCCAACGATTCCAACAGTTCTGCCGTTCATCCTAGCAAAACCCACAGTCAGATTTTTTGCGTAGTTTGGCATAATTTCGAAATAGTCACGTTCGTCTATTATCTGATTATATAAATTATTTTGTTTTAAATTTAAACTTACATTCAAATCATAATTTTATTACATTTGATTATTTTATACAACAGAGAATGATATTTGTCATAGTTTTGTCAAAAGCTTTGAGTTTTCATTCAATAATCTTAATCACAAATAAAAAAAAAAAGGTATTCCCTTTCCCTAAGAATCTATTGTCAGAGGATAAAATTTGATTTAGGAATTGCTACAGACAGTGTATAATTATAAATATTTTTATAATTAAACGATACNTTTTAAATTTAAACTTACATTCAAATCATAATTTTATTACATTTGATTATTTTATACAACAGAGAATGATATTTGTCATAGTTTTGTCAAAAGCTTTGACAAAACTATGACAAATATCAAAAGCTTTGAGTTTTCATTCAATAATCTTAATCACAAATAAAAAAAAAAAGGTATTCCCTTTCCCTAAGAATCTATTGTCAGAGGATAAAATTTGATTTAGGAATTGCTACAGACAGTGTATAATTATAAATATTTTTATAATTAAACGATACTAAGTTAATTATCAACTTCAATAAATATGATAAGAGAAAAATATTAAAAAAATGTCCTAATCATGTTCTAATACATAAGAAAAATCTGGAAATTTTTTGCATATAAATATTAATTTTACATGACTAAATTACTTTAACATAAAAGGAGTAGGTGTGTCTGTTGTTATATAAAATAAATGTTCTAAAAGAAAAAACTTACACCAAGTATAACATCTAGCATGTTATAGGCAGCAGTACTTTCAATGGGAATCACAGTATCCAAACCATAAACTTTACGATCCCTAAAATGGAAAAGTTATTTATATTTTATGTAAAATTTATATTATGCTGTTAGTTTAAGATAATTTTTAACAGACTGAAGGGAATAGTTTTCTTAATTATAAGCCATGCACAATAAACAGTCATTTATAATGTTTCATATAAATATTAAGTAAAATAGCTGTTATATACATTTTAATAGTATATGATTTCTTTTGCCACAGTATAAATTATTCAATTGAAATTCTTTTTAGGAAAAACTTATATTATCTTTCTGTTCATTTATAAAAATTTTAAAATTATATTATATCTGTGGTTTAATATACTCATCATGTGTTTGCTGGCAGGCAGTCAGCCAGCATTTGTTTTTGAGGGACAAGCATTCAGAGCATCTCTCTGGATGCTTGTCCATCAAGGACATCATGTTTTTTTGGAAGTTTGATGAATTTCAACACAGTAGAATGAGCCTGAAAGATAAAACCAAAAGTGGCTTGTCCCTTAACTGCAAATACCCAGGAGAATGTGACTTGTGTGGTTATGGCCAGAGAGGAGGATCCACGGATAACTTACAAGGAGACTGAAAAGCACCTAGCAGATTGGATCAGCAGCAGTGTATGAAATTGTTTGTAAACACCTTTGCCTAAGGAAGGTTTGTGTGGAATGTAATTACTGGTAATGAAATATTTGTCTATCAGTATGAGTCAGATTACAAGTGGTAATCTCAAATTTGGAATTTTTCTGGATGAGGCAATTTCTTCAAAGTTTAAGTGCCCAAGAAGTGTTGGTCAGCAAATAGAGTCCATACTCTTTGAAAAAATTGGACATATATCACCATTCCATTTGGTGGAAAGAAAACCTGTTACTGCTGAGCATTACATCAATGTTTGCCTAACTTAGGTCTTTGAGGAAATTTGCAGGAGGCAGTCAAAGACGGGACTGTAAGGGTGCGACTATGCAGATGCGAGCGAGAATATGTGCAAGACGAGGTGATGACATTTTACACTTTGTTTCTTTCCATTTCTTTCTCTCGTTTATTATGACCACACAGACGAGAGCGAGAAACTGAGAGCATGAAACATCATCACCTCTTCTCACCACATATTTTCACTCATGTCTGCATAGTCGCACCCTAAGATCTTTGCCATGGCAGCAATCTGCCCACAAACCATGAAGACCATCAAGTTTCTGAATGAGTCAAAGATCCAACCAATGATCCATCTATCCTCTAGCCCAGTAACCTGGTCCCTTGTTCTCTTGCTGCCAAAAATGAAGGGCATCCATTGTCATTGTTTTGGGTCACCAGAAGCTGTCAGTATCTACAGAGGCTATCCATGAAGAGTGGTCCATGTTTCCAAACTTAACTGGATGAAAAGTTACATTCAGCATCATGAGAGTATTTTGAGAAATTGTGAACAATATCAGGAAGTTTGTCACAAAACATTTCATGTATCCAGAACCTTTCAGAGGCCTTCTGACATATGCTATCAATGCTGTCCTAGCTGAGTCATTATGCACTCAATGACTCAGCTAGGACAATGTAGCTGTAATGGAGCCTGCAGAATTATAATAGGTACTCTGCATATAACTGTAATGACAACAATGGGCTTGTAATGTATATTATCAATGTTGCCTTAACAGTACCACTAGAGTGCAGAGTTAATCAATCATTAATTAATAATTTACAAGCATCTAAAGAAAAATCTGGCTTGAAATTGAATTTAATAATTTAATAAGCATTATTTATATTTGATGGTTAAATCAACATACAGTATTATTTGTTTTGTATTAGTGATGTGAATTAATAATTTAAGTGCCAAATTACAAATTTATGAATGTATTAAAACAGGTGACCTTGTCCCTATACACCTAAATATAGTGCACACATGCACACACACATACAGTGGAACCCCGGTTAACGACCAAATAGGTTAACAAACTTTTATTTTGTAAAAAATTTTGACTCAGATAATGAACTTAACGGCTTTTTGTGTCAAATTTGTAAGCTTGCTTTCACGAAACATTCTGAACCACTTACGGCACGTGGAATCATCAATGGCTCCCTCACCATACACAGAACATATATTTTTTTTTGTCTGCGAAGCATTCTTGCCTTTTCAAAAATAAAAGAGCATAATATGTCGAAAATACTCCTTATTTTCTGCCATTTGTAATGCTTAACAAAATTTTCAAAACACAATTCTATTCTCAAATACTAGCTGAGATCCCTTTTGTCAAACAACATCGAAATTTTACACATGTGAAGGAAATAACACTTCAGTGTTGCGTTTTTAGCCAGCTGGTGCTAAAAATGGGATGAACTTTTGCATCAACCCAATAGCTTCCAGCTGTTCTGGAACCTCACAAATTTCAGTTGCTCTTAGGCGTGTGCGAGGTAAGCATTGCTTTTTCGAGTGTGCTAAACTTCGTTTTTTAGTTTTGTTATTTATACTGTATATTTAATCAATATGGCACTGAAGAAAGAGAAAAGTGACAGTGGAAATAGAAAACGTTTTTGTGTAGCATTTAAGAAAGAAATTATTTGCAAAATATGAGAATGGCATTCGTGTTTCTTACATCGCTAAAGATGATAATGTGGCAAAATCGACTATCTCTACAATTATTAAAAACAGAAAAGCATTTAAGGCTGCCGAAGTGGCTAAAGGAATGAATGTGATATTGAAACAAAGATCTAAAGTTTTAGATGAAGTTGAAAAACTGTTGCTAATATGGATCAATGAAAAGCAACTTGCTGGAGACAGTGTTAGTGAAGCTGTAATTTGTGAAAAGGCTAAAAATTTATACAATGACTTGTTGACCCAGACACCCAGTACAAGTGCAGACAGGTAAGACTTTAAAGCGAGCCAAGGGTGGTTTGATAGGTTTTGTCAATGAACTGGCATTCACAGTGTCATAAGACACGGGGAGGATTCAAGTTCGGATGAAAAAGCAGCAAAAGCATTTGTAGATGAATTTGCATAGTTTGTAAAAAGTGAAGGATACATCTGGAATCAAGTGTTTAATTGCAACGAGACTGGTCTTTTTTGGAAAAGAATGCCTAGACGAACGTACATAACCCAAGAAGAGAAAGCACTTCCCGAGCACAAGCCCATGAAGGACAGACTCACTCTTTTATTTTGTGCTAATGCAAGTGGTGACCTCAAAATCAAGCCACTTTTAGTCTACAACGCTGAAAATCCCTGTGCCTTTAAGAGTAAAAATGTGATAAAGTCCATACTGCCTGTACAATGGAAGGCAAATAGTAAGGCATGGGTAACTCGGACTTTATTCATGGATTGGCTCATGGAAGTGTTTGCTCCTACTGTTAAAAATTATCTTCAGGAAATGTATCTTCCTCTTAGATGTCTTCTCTTAATGGATAATGCTCTAGCACAGCCACCAAATTTGGAGGACGACTTGGATAGTGAACATGACTTCATCACGGTCAAATTCCTTCCACCCAATACAACTCCATTACTGCAACCAATGGATCAGCAAGTGATTTCCAATTTTAAAAAGCTGTATACCAAGGCACTGTTTACCTTGTGTTTTCAGGTTACCAATGATACTGACTTAAATCTTAGAGCATTTTAACATCCTGCATTGTATCAACCTTATTGACAAAGCTTGGAGTGAGGTCTCTCACCGCACTTTGCAATCGGGCCTGGAGGAAACTTTGGCCAACTTGTGTCCCAGAGCAAAACTTTCAGAAATTTGAAGAAGAGAGCTCTTCTGATATAGTGCATGAAATCGTGTCCATTGGCAAGAGTTCGAGAGTAGAGGTAGATGATGCAGACGTGGAGGAGTTGCTGAAAGACCATCAAAATGAACTAACGACAGAAGAGCTGGTTGCCATGCAGGAAGAACAGATGAAAGTCTTACAAGAAGAGCATTCGTCAGAGGAAGAGGCTAGGGAAGAAATCACCAGTGCTGAGATTAAGGAAATTTGCAGAAAATGGAATGATGTGCAGGAATTTATCGAGAAGCACCATCCTAACAAAGTTGTGGCTAATAGGGTCATTAATTTAATGAATGACACTGTGCTAGCGCATTTTAGAAAAATTTTGATTAAGAGAGTAAGACAATCAACTTTAGACCACTTTCTTGTTCCTTATCAAAAGAGACCTCGATTCAAAGAAACTCCCAATGCAGTGCTACTCGATATTTTTATGGAGGGGGATTCCTCTTCCAAGCATTAAGCTCTGTAGAAATAAAGGTATGTATAGTGCTACTTTATTAAATAAAGTTTACATATTTGTTGCTGTAATGATAGATACTACGTTTACTTATATTTTCATCAAAGAAAACCCATTTTACAAATAAAATTACAAAAATACTGACAGCTAGAACGGATTAATTGTATTTGCATTAATTTCTATGGGAAAAATTGCTTCAGTTAACGAACGGACTTGTGGAATGGATTACGTTCGTTAACCGGGGTTCCACTGTAATGATTAAATTCTACAGTTGGTTATGTTTATAGAGTTTCATGATTAGGAGGATGATTGGGGTGGGGTTTCCCCTAAATCATCAATCAAATGCAGTGTTATTGGATTTACTGTGGGTATGTCCATTCTGAGCCAAAATTAACAATGTATTAATTTATCAAAAAAGAATTTCAAAAGTATAGAAGTAACTTACCAAGGATCATCACATTCTCTTATCGGAGGAGGCTCTCTGTTACTTAACGGTAGAAAATTATAAAATTTCCTGAGCTGAAGCAGGGCATCGACATCATTTTCAAAAGCATTGTGCGCAACACCTTTAATAAATATACATAATTTGTATTTTTATGAAAAGATAGTTTTTGTTTAAAAATAAAATTAAACACATTAAGCTTATAACTGCAAAAATATTATTTTCAAATGAATAAAATAATTTAAAAACTATATTTATGCAGTTTGAATTTGGTACTATTTTGTATTAAATACATTATTTAATTTTAAATGAAATGTTCCAACTGTATCTACTGACATTCAAAATTCAAACAACCATTTTTAAACCACAAACATCACAGTGGAGATTAGGAAAGAAAAATTCCTATTTAACAATGCAGTGAAATCTAAATCATTTATGTATGAATATTGTGAAGACAATCAGAATGATTTAAGATACTATTCTGAAATTTCTTAAAAGATTTACCACATTAACCAATGGAAAGTCTTAGAATGTGGGAGAATGATGATGCAATAGTTTGCTCCAACGAAGAATTACAATTATTGACGATAGCATAGTGGATGATTTGCACTCTGAGCTTCTAGATTTTGATAATGATAAAGATGAAATTCAATTTGCTATAGACAAAACTTCATCAGAGAACTTAAGTCCTGACTCAATACCTTCCACTTTTTATAAAAAAAATTAAACCAACAGCTACAACTAGGAAAAATTAACTTGAAAAATTATAATTTATTCAACCTAAAAGTGTAACTAAACATAATACAAATACCTGTACTTAAATTAAATTAAGTAACAAACTACCATATTAGAATTTATAATGATTAATACAGTGGGTGATTGGTTAACGAACAGTTCGGATAGCAAACAAATCGGATAATGAACACTTTTGAGAAAGTTTTTTATGATCAGACGATGAACACATGTTCAGATAACGAACACTTTATTGAATAAACATAAAAAGAAGTGACGGAAATTAACAAATACTGATTGATTTTCCCTTGTCTTCAGGTAACAATTCAAAACCTTTCAGAGCACGGGAGACAACATCGACTCTCAACTCGATACCAATCAGATAGTATTCCTCCGAATTTTGAAACTCACCCTTGTAATTCCAGCTTTTTGTTTACCTTCATGACAAATAATTTTTATAGTCCTCGCGAGACTGTTGGATGGGTACTTGTTAAATTTTGTGTCGGGGGTTTATTTACGAAAGTTTAACTGTCCCATCGGATATTTGTTAACATTTTAATACTAAATTTCGAATTTCACCTGAGCCTTGTATTTAAATAACTTTTTTGTGGGCTAGTTGATTTCTGTTCTCTGAATTTTTGTAAGTGCTTTTCTGAACTTTTTATTTAAAAAAGAAACTGATAATATTATGTAGCCTAAAAAGAGTGGAATTTCAAGAACTGTGCTCACAGTAGAAAACAAGTAAGAGATAATAGCCAAGGTAGAAAGTGAGCACAAGATGTCTGATGTTGCTAGGCAGTATGGCTTGAACAGGTCTACAGTAGGCACAATCTTAGCTATGAAAGATATATCAAGAAGTCTCAAGCTGCTAATGGAGTAATGAAAATCACGTCTGAGAAATAAAGAGCATTTTAGAGCTCATAATGGAACCTGAAACTGATCTGACGACAGAAGAACTCCAAGAACTCTCAAATGAAGAATACCAAGAAACTCAGAGAGATGCGTTATCTTTTGAAAAAGAGGAAGACAAAAGAGGACCAATGTCGACATCTGCTACTAAAAATCTTTTGAAGAAGTGGGAGGATGTCAGAACAATGATCATCCAAGTGGCATCCAAACCAGAATAAGGTTAATGGGGTTGGGGATCTCTACAATTACAATACTATTAATTACTTCCGAAAAATCCTGAAGAAAAGAGAAAAGCAATC